TAAATTTCAATTTATTCTACTACTACTACTACTCTGTTTTATATATATGTATATATATATATATATATATAAAGAAAGTATGAGAACCCAGAAAGGGTTTATCTAATGTTATCCTCATAAACGACATAGGCAAATGTGTATGTATGAAAATAAGCTTGAAATCCTATTGGACGATTTACCAAGAATAACCTTAAACGATTATTTCTTTTCATTTTTTTTCTTCTTCTTCTTCTTCTTCTTCTTCTTCATCTTTTAGACTATGCATAGAAGCATACATGCATGCACACACACACACACACACACACACACCCACACGTACCTTACATCTGTATATATGTATATTATACTTCAGATCAAAATTGTCTCTTAAGTTCAATGCAATCCCAAGCAGTTGGGCTATTATAACGCGATAAAAGTAAATCGGTTAAGCATAAAACATAAAATGAAAGAATAAATGAAAGAAAGAGATGCTAAAAACATTCCAGAAACATCCCACGAAAAATACCAGAAGAAAATCTTTAACCATAAACGAACTATGGTAGAAAATGTGCATGGTGAGATTACGTTAGGTAGGTTCCTAAAAAGAGAAGRGAAGAGAGAGAGAGAGTACTATTGGTTGTTGGTAGTGGTACGCTTGTTGGTTGGTCTCTTATGGTCAGGATTACCCTGTCGAAAGTGGGAAACGGGGGTTGACTCCCCCTTGACCGACGTATTTAGAACAACAATAACTCTCTAATCCTAAAGGCGCACCCTTACGTCTACATATGTGTGTGTGTGTGTGTGTGTGTGTGTAGGGCCACTTCTCCCTACTTCCCTTCTGTCCCTTCTGTTTCTATTTTTTTTTTTCTGTTTACATGTGAGTCTCTGTGGTACACAGTAAAGCGTACGATGAAAAATGTCAAAATCGGGAATACCACTAAACCATGACAGTTCGATACATTTTAAATGCGCCGGAACGCATTTGCGGGATACGATAAACAGCCCAGACTGCGCCGTTGGATATCCAATTGCGGTTCCACCAATATGTCCTCTTATTTATTCCTAAGATTTATGGAATAAACGAGTAGCAAAAGCGTTTCTCTTCTTCTAACCCAACGCCCCCCACCACAACACCTACTGCTTCAACCCTCAATAACCATGTATTATTTCCCCCCTCTTGCTTTTTCTTTTATTAATGCTCTTATAAAAAAAAATCGAAGGAAAAAAAAGACGAAAACCAACTATGATGATGATCATCAGAATGATCAAAATGTTTGTTAAAAAGTGTTTTGTCAAACCGGTCATACCCACCCACTCACGATTGTCCTATTCCGTTGATTTAACCCGAACGAAACTAGGGTGTCGAGTAGATCCTAATAAAAGATCCTACAGGAGGCTTATCGAATCTCAAAGTTGCGGTGATGGTACGTACCGTCGAGTGTTAGTCGCCCGTAGCCATTTCCACCCCTCCGTCACAACCTTCGACCCATTATCCTAACCTTCCCTTAGGTATTATCTCAGGATATCTTGCAACCATCCTACCAAGATACCGATCGAAAATGTTATTATTAGCTTAAAGGCTTCTGCAATGTTAAGAAAAAGATACAAAAAAAAAATATATATATATATGTAAAAGAATCTTGCAGAAAACCCATAAACGCATCTTCCTAAACTTGTTGTAAATCAAAAACGATGAAAATGAAGATGAGAAGTAGAAGGAAGGAAATTTGTACGTGTGAGAAGACCAAAAAAAAATCAATAATAAAGTTCGCAAACGGGCCAGCAGCAACCAAAGTTCGATACGAGTGAAAAGAAAAAAAGAGAAAAAAGAAAAAGGGTGGGGATTAGTGTAGGGGAAGGGCAGAAAGGGAGGTGGAATTCCTTTCTATACTTCATCTGTATGAGATTCTCTTTCACGGAGCACCGATTTAAAACGCCTTTTAAGAGACGATCCTAGGGATCGAGAATTGTGCCGAACTGAATCCTCTCTTTCTTTCTCTCTCACTCACTCATTCATTCTCCCTCTCTCTTCTTCTTTTTATTTCTTTCTTTCTTTCTATAGGTATACTATACTATACTCTCTGCCCTTCGATCCTGTTCCATTAGTTGCATTCCAACTTACTTTTCCTGCTTTGTAAAGTACTCCGATTCATGCGTATGCAATGAATCTGGGATTCGAACTCGTCATTAAACGATCCTATATTAAAATCCAAAGACATGTTGATAAAACCTATATCGTAATTGTCCCTTCTATCCTTTGTACTTTATCATGAATTCTATCTAAGGATAGTGAACACTTCCCGCCCAACCCACCCCCCACCATCACTACCAATAGTCCCTTCTTCTCACTCGTATTTACATCAAATCTCACAATGTTGATGATAAAAATCGTTTTAGTGATACTTACAGGAAGATCAAATGTGTCAAGAAGAAAAAATTCATTTCAAAGAGTCTCATAAATTAAAAAAAAACAACATTACAGATAATTATTATTTTACAACATGTTTAAAAAACATTGTGGAAATGTTTTATATAACATATGAAGTTTTGAGAAGACGAAAAGATAGGTCCTCGACCTCTTCTTCTCAGATCTTTCTTTCTTTTTTCCTTTTCTTTATTTTTCTTTGAAGGAAAGAAAGAATGAGAGAGTGAGAGAGAGAGAGAGAGAGAGAGAATGGACCAAAAGGGGGCTTCAGTGAGGCCCACCTTGAACCGCGGCAAATGAAGCAGCGCGCAATCCACAAAAGGCAGAGCCGGCACACACATACTTGAGAAGAGGCCCAGGTAACTCATTCGGGAAACAAAAGCATTCGTTTCGACACATTATAATACAACGACTCTCCTGGTTGCAAAAGCCCTTTGCTTTACTTTGATTTGCTTTACTTTGGTATACATACAAAGAGTGTCACTTAAAATCTTACAAAATGTACAACTTTTTCAGGTTTTCTTTTTTTTTTTCTTTCAAAATTATTCGTATAATTTGAAATAATTTAAATGATAAAGATATTGATACATGTTAATTAAATATTCAATAAATTACATTTGTACAAAATTATTATATATGAAAAATAAATTTGAAATAAAATAATAAAGTTGGAAAATTCTACAAAACGTTCAACTTTTTTCAGGTTTTTTTTTTCAGATTTTTTTCAGGTTTTTTTAGATTTTTTCAGATTTTTTCAGATTTTTTTAGATTTTTGTTCACATAACCGTATATAAATCCAATTATATACATTCAAATAATAATTTTGAATTTTCTAACACCCTCTAACCTTTTCCTACCCATTCCCAACCCTATCATCCCTTCCACTCTTTTCACTCTGACTCTTGCTATGCAATTTCTTTCTTACGCTTAAACAAATTTCTTGTCCTTTTTTACATAATTACCCTTTTCAACGGGGAATATTTACGAAGGAACATATGCACACCATTTACACCCCTTTTTTCTCATTCTCATACAACGAGACCGAACCAACTGCGATCAGAGGAGTTGCACGAGACGACGAGAGACGAGACAAATTATCATTGCAAATGACCGATACCTTGGTAATCCCTTTTTTTCTTCTTCTTCTTCTTCTTCATCTTCTTCTTCTTCTTCTTCTTCTTATTTATTCTTGTTGAACGATATAGTCGACGCCATCTCGTGTTTTATTATTTCAACAACAACCCCATCTAGTGCCCCTTTCTTTTTAACGAATTAAAACGTGTAACATATCAATTCTACCAACACTTATCCAATAAATAATCATCCTATTATCAAAATTGATTTCTACATACAACTCTAATCAACCTAAACTTACTTGACTTGAAACAAAATGAACCAATATTCCAACGTATCTAAAAAAAAAAAAAAACCTGAAAAGTTAAACCCCGGGAACAACCATATTGAAGATATTTTTGTTGCAAAGTTGCAAGAGAACGGATGGATACTTTAAAACTTGTTGAGAATAATAAAAAACAAAAAATGTAGAAGAACTGGTGGTGGGTGGGGGGAGCAGAGGTGGGGGTGGGGGTAGAAACGATCCGATCAGGTCCGAATATCCCGATCGTTATTATTTCTCTTAGAAACCTCCTGCGAAAATCATAGAGGCTATCGCGCGCAAGCCAACAAAAAGTTAATTGTCGAGAGAGAAAGAGAGAGAGAGAGAGAGACACGTAATAATTACTTCTGGGCCCTGCCCACTTGCGGTTTCACTCGTAACTCTCTCTCTCTCTCTCTTTCTCTTTCTCTCTTGAGATAGAGAGAGAGAGAGAGAGTGTATGCGTATCTCCATTTGAGTATAGGCATCCTTTATAAACGTTCCTTCCTTCTTGCCACTGTAGTTTGACGCTTCCATTCCTTGTAACGGTAATTTACGTATTTTACCTAAATACTTGCTAAAATTAATGTATTAAACAAATATTTGAACTAAGTATAGTTAAACAAAACAAATGAGGGTTGATATGATATTAAAAATGTCATTAAATGATAGAATTTAGGTAAATACTGAATAAAATTAAGCTTTTAGCCACAACACGCCATTATAGTGGCTTTCACCGATTCCATCTTGCAGTATAACGCGACACTATAATGGCTTTCAAGAATATAATATATTATATACTTAATTTTATTATTAATTATTAAAATAAATTGTTTAAGTTAAAGTGCACTTGATTCAATCGTGCCTAAAAGGTTAATGTTTTAACAAATATTTAAACATCATATAAAAGATATAGTTAAACAAAAAAAATAAGGGTTGATAACATAGTAAAAACATAACCAAATACTAAAATAAGGGTTGTAAGATATTAAATGAAAATTAATACTAAATCATCAACAGGTGCAACACATGCAACGGAATGAATCAGAAAACATGTACTTAACATGCAAAAATCAAATAATAAAACCATGATCATAGTCCCAAGATATAAATAGGGGTTGTAAGGAATGAAATGAAAGATAATTAAAAAAAAACACACACACACACAACACACATATGCATGCATGCAACGGGGTAAATTTGGAAAGAGTTAAAGCATACCTTTCGAAAGCGTAGTGTCTCTCCTCAAATCTGTAACAACACAAACAAGGTTCGTCACAATGGCTTAACGACAGGCTAAGGGTTGGGGTGGGGTGGGGTGGGGTGGTTGGGGGAGGGAAAGGGGTCATTGGATTCGCAAGAAGAAAGCAGTTTCGTCGGGCTCGTTTTATAAACTAGTTTTGGCAAGAGAACTCCGACGAACGAGGGCCGAAGAGATAAAGGTTGAAGATGAGGTGGAGTAAGGGTAGGTCGAATGAAGGGAAAGGGAACGGGTAGGGATGGAATGGGAAGAGGAGAAAAGGAGGAAAGAATCGTGAAGATTATTTTCATCCTATAGAAAGAGAAAGAGAGAGAGAGAGAGAGAGAGAGAGAGAGAGAGATGAGTAGTTTGGTGCACATAGGTAGTTATGTCTATAAGCAGACATTATCATCGCCGTGGCGTAGGTAGGCGGACAGGTAGAGCTAATTTTCGAACCCCGTATTATAGTTCCCGAATCAACTTCTCCATAGTATAATAAGCAATTTCATGACGTACGCTCGCAATTATATTAAGATTAGATAAGATCAACCACTTAGTTTACAGGTACATTCAAAAGAGACCGACACGTTCGATCTTTACAAAATGTAATACACTTTGATAGATGTAACTAAGATAACTTAAACTATAAGTTTATCAATATATATATATATATATATTCTATATATGTTTGTTCTATGGTGAAATTAAATGGTAAATTGATTAAACGTTTGTAAGATTAGTTGGTAAAAAAAGTTCAGTTTCTTTTTAAGTTGTTATTAAAAGGACACCTATGATTGTCAAATGGTAATGGTATGTTAAAGTTAATTTAATCAGTTGGTCTGATCAAAATTAATGTCCCATGAGTTGATATTTGATTGGGGGATAGATTGATATTTTCTTAATACCCTGTTTGCAGTATTTTTTGATGCAACAAGATAGAAAACTATTGGATTGACAAGAAAGTAATTTCATTATTCTTTTGTTAATGTTAGAATTTGTTTCTTTTGAGGTTTGGTAGTTGACACTTTTAGATTGTTATAGAAACAAATTCCATGTTATTTTGTTTACAATTGTTAGTTTAGAAAACCAAAATTACTTTCTTGCTAACCCAATGTGATCAAAGTTGAGTAGTCAAGCCTATCTTTGATGTTTCCTATAAGTTAAAATGAAAAGGGGATATCGATGAGATCAGAAGCAGCATCGAATTTTGGAACGTTTATTTCTTTATCGCGTACCAAACAAGTAACCAACGAATCAACCACCACCACCACCAAGGATCGAGCAACCAATGAACGAATGTCCGGATTCTACCTCGTATAAATAATACGGGTGTCTTGGGGAGTGGAGAAGTTAGAGTTGGCAGCATATTTAAAGGTAATATTATTTGCTCCTAAACGGGATTTCTTCTTACGTAGCGATCGAGAAGTCAGCTTTGCGGGCGTTTTTCCATTGGCAGTCGCGAACCGACCGCGGCTGAGCCTGGAATGCCGACCACCGGGATAAAAACCGAATCAAATATCTACCGTTCGGCGAGTCTCTCTCCACTCGGACTAATGAAAATGCCCGTTGTTACTCTCTCTACCTACCTATCCCTCTCTCTCTCTTTCTGGGTTTTGCGTTAAGGGATTTTCAGCGACAGTATCTCGATCACGCGCAGTATTTTACTCTCGGGATTCGAGAATAAAAACCACCATCCCCCTTTCTCTCTCGTTTCTATATTCTTCTTTACCTTCGAACCAATGGCCGAGTACTTTAAACGATTTACTTTCAAACATCCCTACCCAATCATTCCTAATACCATTCTCTTTCAAATACAATTTGTAATATAATGTTGATCTTTTATAAAAACGATGTACAACAGATCGTTGATAGATTTGACACTTGTGAATGATTGATCAGGTCAATCCTAAGGTGATGAGACGATCCTGACGGGGGGGGGTTCCTTTCCTGATGATGATGAAAAAGAAGCAAACAAGCAAGCAAGCAAGCAAGCAGAGGCGTCAGAATCGTTGAAGCGGTTGCTTTCCGATCGGCTTTGTTTGGGATTCGATTCAGAACGGTTCTCTCCTGGATTCGCATTTGAGTTAGACTCACGTTCTGCCGCAGCACGTGACCCAGCTGCTCGAGAGGAATCCCACGTATCCGTGACGTCACTCCATTTCTCTCTCTCTCTCTCTGTGTATGTGTTTGGTTCTCTCGCTACCGTGAACAACCTGCCCGCGGCCCGATAGGAGGACTATACAAGACTTCTGTCTAGTCACTGACTTATTAGGAATTCCGAGCGACCCACGTGCAGAAATTCGGCGGTCTGCTCTTGGCGAGCCACGTGCGCTCACTGGATGCACGTTCTTCTAATTTGCGAGACGTCTGCGGACTACTTAAAACCTGCTCGACCTGTTTAAGTCTCCTCCTCTCCTCTTGTGCTTTCGATCGACGTCATTCAACTCAAACATAACCCCCTACGATCAACCATATCCACCTACGATTCCACCCTGACACCATATTATCCACCATCCAAAAAAAAAAGAACAACAAACAGAGATCCCAATAAAAAGTACACAACCATCTGACCAAACACAACACTTTCATTTTTTATTAATTTATTTTGTTTACCTTACGGCAAATTTTGGATTGGTAGCTGCGCATGCACGGAGTCATGGTTATGTGGGATAGGAGGGAGGGGGGTGATAATTCATGGTGTAACAAAAAGCAGAACGAACTCCCGCAACGTTGGTTGTATTGCATTGGCAAAAGGGACATCAAAATCTCACCTAGCTTATAATAATTTCTTACTGTATGTAACCGTAAGAAGATGTAAAAGAGAGAAAGAGAGAGAGAGAGAGAGAAAGGAAATGCATTAAATCACCCCCCGATCAACAATAATAACTCAAGAAAACTTTCTCGAACTCTCATGGCGTGATAATTCAACATGATGGATAACCAAGAATCTGAATAACTCGTATAATCCTTTCTTTATATCATCGGCCAATCGGCTGAGACAAGATTTGCGATCCTGAGGCACCCTGCAGGGTCTTCTTTTAAGTACTTAAGTATCATTTTTTCTTTTCTTTCTATTCTTGAAGTTTGCACGATGATAATCTAGATATCCTGAGAGATCTCTCTTTTTATTGGTTGAGAGATAAATTATTTAAAATGTTTCGTTATAGCTCAAGTAATCGTTCTATAAGTAATTTACTGTATATGGGTCGGTCAGATTTAAAACATGAACGGGATTTGTATAAAAGGGATTTCTATTTTGTATTACGAAAAGGTTAAAGTTCATTCATCGTCATCGTAATTTAATATGTTCGTTTTTTTATTTATTTATCTCAATGAAAATGCATCCAACAAATATAACAAATAATCACGTATCATAGAAATGATTTTTCTCTGACTATCGTAAAATGTCCCCCCCCCCACTAGTTTTTTCTAAGTTCTATCGGATTTATATATGTCACGGTATAATAAATTTCCTTTTTTTATCTGCTATCTTTTTTGCTTGTATCACTTTGGTAACACACATACGTTCTTACTTTAGTATAAAACACACTTGAATTGGGCCCGTACAAGGCGTGACGAGTGTAATTTCGGATAGATCGAATCGATCGGGAATTCGTTTCTCGATCAATCGGCTCTGATCGATCGGATCTTTTTAAGACAGTGAGAGAAAGAGAGAGAGAAAGAAAGAGATACAGAGAGAGAGAGAGAGAGAGAGAGAGAGAAATAGAAAACCGTATCGAAGAAAATGCATTTCGCGTAGCGAAGTGCATGATGCAGTTACGCTGTAAGCGTAGGCGTACAGTTAGAAAAGAAGAAAGTACATGATACACGGATCATGATGATGATGATGATGATGATGATGATGATGATCGGACTACCATCAACTGATTCGTCACAGACACTGAGAAAGCGTAGAAAACGATTGTAAATAACAAAAAGTATTGAAAAAGAGACAGAAGAAGAGAGTCGACACAATATTCCCGTTTCTAGATCCTTTTTAATCATCTTTAAGTTTTATTTAATAAATAATTGTTCTATTTAAATAATTATGCAATTGTAAATAAATTCACGCATTTCTAAGTTTATAATTAAATGATTTGCATTGACACGAAACTCCTCGTTTCTCTGATCACTTCTGTTAGACCCACTTTAAGTTTCATTGCATTTAAACTCACTTTAGGTTTCATTTTTTCATTTTCTTTAAGTTTCATTCAATAAATAATTGTTCTATTTAAATAATTATGCAATTGTAAATAAATTCATGCAATTCTAAGTTCATAATTAAATGATTTGCATTGACACGAAACTCCTCGTTTCTCTGATCACTTCTGTTAGACCCACTTTAGGTTTCATTGCATTTAAACTCACTTTAGGTTTCATTTTTTCATTTTCTTTAAGTTTCATTCAATAAATAATCTGTTCTATTTAAATTATATATAATAAAAAAAAAACTCACTTCTTTATATTTTTTTTAGAACAATTAACATAGATACATAGCAAAATATTGATAGATTGTATTTGTGAGAATGACGAATTAGAGAAATGATTACAGATGTGTACCTATAGTTTAAATAAAATAATATACATTGTGTGTATAAACACCTTCTTTTAAATTTTTCTTTTAAACTTGCTGAGATTCTTCTCGAACAGAGTTTACTTTTCTCGTTTCTCGTCTCTTTGACCGTTAGCAACGTGTGCTGGTCGTGCTGAAGAAGGCTCATGGCAAAGAAGGGGGAACACCCTTCTCGCAGGACTATTAATATTAATGCGTTCCTTCCTTCTCTTTCGTATTGTATCTATGTATGTATATATGTGTGTGTGTTCAATCTTGTGAATTCGTGAGTTTTAAATGTCAACTCGTGTGATGAGGTTTTACTTTTCAGAAAAGACTTCCGATAGTTCCAAGGTGTTGATAGGTGTCAATTCATAATCGAATTCAATTTGAACAATTTAGATTCCAGACAAGTAGCAGATTGATTCATTCATTTCAAATCATATCAATTAGTATGAAATAATTCATTGCATTATTTTGTAAATGAAACATATGTTTCAACAAAATTGTCAAGTGGATTTAACAGAAGTCATCGGTGAAACGAGTGTTTCGTGTCAATGTGCAAATCGTTAATTTAATTATATATATATACATAATTAATGCAGGGTGCATTTAGAGAAAGATGAAGTGTAAAAGATGACATCTAATTATCTTATTTAATAAACAAACCACCCAACATTGAAACGTACGTTGCATTTCTGAAAATGATTGACAATTAGTCCAGTGTTTTGATTACAATTGCAAATACATTGGAATGTTTATTATAAAATGTTTTTTTTTTTTTTTTTAAATTTGTAAAATCGATTAATGCAGTTTTCCATTCATTATCTCCTACCAACTTATTTCTTTAGAATATTCTCTCTTTCGAAAAAAAAAAAAAAAACAAGAAATGATCTCGACGGTTGTTGATCATCGTCGTTCTTAACGAGCGTCGTAGTCGCGCGAGACATGTATGTATCTACAAGGCGGCATCTCTTCTCAGCGGGGGAAACAAAGAACTTGACTTATTCTTCTGACAAGAGGAGGCTAAAAAGTAAAGCGAAAAGATACGGAGAGAAAGATACACACAACAGAACTAACAACAACAGCTTTAACAGTATTCGTCCCAATGGTTTCAACAGATTCAAACTTACTTGAAAACTGAGACCTCTTGGTGAATCATTTTTTTATATTTTTTGTAAGACAAATATATATATTTTTTTTTTTAAATATTGTTAGAGAATTTCATAAACTATTTGTTGAAAATCTTAAACAAATTTATTTGTAATTTATTTTTAATTTATTATTAAATTATAACACACATCATATGACAAGTGCGGGGCATTTACTTGGCATTTATGTTAACATTATTTTTAATATTTTTTATTCAACAAATATATTTTTTTTTTCTTAAGAAATTTTTATTTAATTTCATAAACTATTTGTTTAAAATCCTAAAAAAAATTTATTTAAAATTTATTTTTAATTTATTAATAAATTACAATACACATATGTTAAGTGTGTACTTCGTGTACTTCATCTTCAAAATTATTTTTATATTTTACATTGAACAAATAAAAAAAAACAAAAATTTATTAAAAATTTGAACCAAACAAAAATTCAATAACAAAATACAAAATTATTATAAATAAAATATGATCTTTCTTATACAATTTTCCAAGTGTTAAAAAAACAAAATAAAAAAAAAGGGGGGGGGGGGAAATAAATAAAAAAGAAAGGCAGAATTTAGAAAAAAAAAAAAAACCGTACCGTGTGGTTTCGAATGATGGTAGTGTTGGTGGTTGGGATAAAATAAAAGCGAGTTAGGCGAAAGGTCGAAATCTCTCTCTCTCTCCCTCTCTCTCTCTCTCTTTCTCTCTCGGGAAGCTTGACCTCGGCCGGTAATAAGAATAAATGTGATTCTATTACGAGTTCAATTGTTACGGCGGCGGATATAGGCCGATTTCGATGGAGGACGACGAGGGACTGATCATCCGCACCGATAACGTAAAAACACCCTCTACCCTCCCTCCACATCCTCCCCAACATCTTCCCCCACTTCCTCAGACGTTTTTACCTGCCACCTTTTTCTTCAGACTCATTTTTTTTCTCAATCCAACAGTTTTCTCAATCCTACCCCCCCAAAAATCGTCTTGTGCTGACAAAAGTTTGAACAAAAATTAAAAAAAAAAACCCCAAACATACTCACACACCCACACACACATATACACTTAAAAGATAAATCTTAAGAATGTAAATAAAAAAACAAAGACACACACACAAAAATGTAGTTCACGTTTGTATGCAATTGATGATGATCAAACTTGATTGATTGGCATAATTGATCGTTTTACGAATCAGGATTCACTGAATGTACTCACCGTGCGTTGACGGAAGTAGGATTCCCGACGTCGTCCAGGGACGGTTTCCTAGAATGAAACCACGAATGAAATTCGTTATTGATCGTCTGCAATTGCATTGCTGCACGTTGTTGTTGTTGCTGTTGTTTATACGCGATGCACAAGTTTGAAGTTTGCCACGTTCCCCTAATTGTTTCTATGTCCATAATTAATTCCTACCCTCTCCTACTCCCTCTCTCTTTCACTCTTTAAAAATAATTTACAAAAAAAAAAGAAAAACAAATGAGACACAATTTAACAAAAATTAATTAACAATTTGTTCACAATTTGCACAGAAATGTTTCTTTTTTTCTCTCACAATTATCAAAACAAAACACACACTCGTTTGATTTCATATTGCAATTAACAAATACAAATACAAAATGATTGAAACTTATGATAAAAAGGATTCTTTTCGTTAGTATGAAAACTGTCAACAAAACGGACTAGCGTACACACTGGCATGTGCAACGTAAGTGTCGTCATCGTACGAAGAAGAGAAGGCGCGTGTCGGCCTCGTGGCTCGGTTCGAACCTTCTTCCACCCTTTTGTGAATTGTTCCCCTCCTCTTTTCCCTCTTTAGCCCCACTATTCGGACGAATTGACGTTGCGCGCGCCCCTTTTCGAAACTCAGCCTCCTTACTCGTGTGTCGTCGTAGTCCGACTCGTGTTCAACCATAATCCCAACCCCTAAAACCACGCTAGGCCATTTCCTATGACGAGTATCCACGAGAATCATCAAAACTTAAACTAAAGTCTTCAAAAATCATCTTTTAGGTTAGTTTTTCTTACGACTAATATTATCACTAACTTACTTACTTCAATTCGTGAAGAAGAAGAAGAAGAAGAAGAAGAAGAAGGAAGAAAAGGAAAAGCATTCAGTCTTCATTTAACTTCGAACGCGAGTCCCGCGACGGCAATAAAATTCCCTACCCACCAAACCCAACACCACCACCTAACAGAATCACCAACATCAAGAACCCAACAGAACCACCAACACTTCTATCAACGTATTATCTTGATCTGTTTATGTATACGCACCCAGGACCATGTCCCTGATTTTCTGTACCAACTCTAACACCCACCCTAAAAACTGTAGGCTTGACTTTAGTCAAAGGGGATCATCGATTAAAACCCAATGGGATTATACCCTCTGATTTTGTAGTGGAAAAAGATCAAGTCTGTAGAAACTTGCTTGTATTCCATTTTGAACTCCTACAAAGAAAAAAAGAGAGAGAGAGAGAGGTTCATGGTAATCGATGGGAACCCATGTGACTAATGATTATCGATTACCAGTCAGACGATTTACCAAGACATCGATGAGATTCATTAAACTATGTCCTTAATGAACGTTTTATAAACTTGATTATTAAAAAGAGAAAGATAAACGAGACAACGAGTGAGAGAAAGAGAGAGAGAGAGAGAGAGAGATAAAAAATAGAAGAAAAAAAAAGGGGAAGAGAAAGAGAAAGAAAAAGACTTTTCCAACGAGAGAAAAAGTGAATCGTAGCCCGGTTACACGAGATCTTATATTACCTTAACGGGCAACTAGCCAGACCGGTAAGCATCTATGTGCCTATACTCCTGTGATTCTCGTCTAAAGTCAAACTCACTTGGAGTATACTGCTTTTACAAACGATACTTCTTATGGTTGGGCTAGCTATTACTATGACAGCACGATGACACTCATCGTCACTCGAGTGACTTCTCCTTCAATGTGAATCTAAATCGATACTCGAGACTCTCACAGGATAAATCAACTTTCCTAAATCATTTGGAATGTTGTTAGAAGTGTTTTACAAAATACCAACTTAAATTCCCTATGACAAAATTCTAATCGCGTTAAATACAGAAAAAGAGAAAGAGACTGATGTTTCTGAAGTTATTTTTTTTTTTTGTTACTTTTTCTTCTTGGGTTCATTTTTGTTTTTTTTTTTTTGTTTTTTTTTTGGTTTCGTTACTTTTACGTGTGAACTTTTGTAAGAGGTAACAAAAAGTTACAAAAGAGGTGTGGGACCGTTTGAAAGAGGATCCTCCGATAGGGTTTGTTAAGAGAACCTTCTCTCTCTTTCTCTTTCTCTCTCTCTTTTTTTCTTGAAGATGGAATCTCCGTGTCGGAAGGAACTTCTCGGTCGATTCGTTACGCGTTTTCAACACCTCGATAACTGAACTGAACGAAAGAAGATCGTTTGGAAATGGACAAAAGATCTTGGTAAACGAGTATACGAGTATTTCCACAATTACGTCATTCAACACAAGTATAGGATTTTAACACATAGAAAATTCGAATAAACGAATAGAACATGATTCTATAAAGCGACTCTAATAAATTCGACTTGAAAGGACAGTGACTTAGGACACCCATTTATCTCATATTCTAATCACCTTTCTACAAAAAAAAAAAAAAAAAAACGGGAGCTAATCCGAACATAGGAGAATTCTATCTACATATGTGTGTGTGTGTGTGTATGTGGTTTTTTTTGTTCATAAAAAATTAATGTCCATCATTAGGACACTTATTAATAATCTTTCAGTTACTTTGAAACAAAATATAAGAAACTAAAAATTCAAATGTAAAAGTTACGAATTAGTTTGGATTTTAAGAAGAAGGAATTATCCATCAACGAGTCAGGATGGAAGAAAATTTCCAAGAGTTCGTTCCAATAGCTACAACTATCTCTCTCTCTCTCTCTCTGTTCTTCAAGGAGTGAACTGAAAGAACCGGAATGTAGATGGCAGAGAGTAAAGGGAGGCGGTTTGGCACATTTTTTGGATCGGGGAATGTCGGTGTAAGCTATTAGAGGGAGAGCAACCTTCTTACGTGGAATCGTTAACCTCGACGGTAGCCAGAGACCGAGCGGTAAAAGATGTTGCGGACGAGGTCTGAATTAATGAATGAACGGATGTTAAGCTATCGGAACTCGATGCTTTTCCAAGAGGAGGAGGAGGTGGAGGAGGAGGAGGATTGTTAGAGATCGTCCAACGTAGGCGAATAGAAGAAACGCAACGTACGGGGAACTTGCTGCGAAAATATCCATTAGGGATGGAACGGGGTAAGGAGGAGCTGGAGGAGGAGGAGGAGGAGGAGGAGGAGAAGGGGGGGGTTAGAATTGGCTCCTTTTATGGACGTTAAACTCATTCCGTAGGTAGAAGATCTTCTCTTGGTGTACGGATGGAGAATGGTAAATGTTTAGATGGTTGTACTGTTGTAGTTTGGATCGCATTAGAGACCAATGAAAAAGAGAAAGAGAAAGAGAGAGAGAGAGAGAGAGAGTTGCTACCGGTGGTCATCGACGGGGGGTTCCCCATTCAACCGGTGGCTCGTCTCTCGCCCACTCATTCGTTCATTCATACGCGCTGCACGCGATTTGAATCGATAAGTAAAGCTTGCTTGAGACAACCCAACAGCCGTAGGAGRATCACTCGAGAGAGAGAGAGAAAGAGAGAAAGGACACGTGCTACGAGTCCTTTCATCCTAGGAGTAGGGGTTTCTGAAGCAGGTGAAACAATAACAAACCTAGAGATGGATTTTGTTAAAATAAAGGTGCCGCGAGTTAGGAACAAGAGTTGGATGAATAAAAAGGTGGTGGTGGTGGTGGTGGTTRAGGAAGAACACTGAGAAGAGAGAGAGGGATTTAGAATATAAGGTAAAAGGAGAATAAGAAAGAACGACGCCCGGCAAGGATAATCGGTAAGAAGAGTTCCAAAGAGAAGTGGTAGTAGAAGAGGCGACCGGTCGTAGTCGTCGGCTGCTGCCGGACAAGCGGACGGAAAAGACAGACAGGACTGGAGACCGCTCATTACGAGCGGCGCATGCGCGAGGAATGCGACGACTCTTTCTTTCTTTCTCTCTTTCTCTCTCTCTCTCTCTCTCTCTCTCTCTCTCTCTCTCTCACTCACTGGTTCTTTTTTTCTTCCTTTCTTTCTCTTTCTACTCGATACAATAAATATAGGATCGGGATCGGCGTGCCTCCTCCTCCTCCTCCTCCTCTTCTGTTGCTGCTTTCGATGAGAGGGAGAGAAAAGACCCAGCTGGAACGACTTCAAAGTAAGCCTGAACCGATGAACGAACGAACGAATCACGACCGACAACAATGCCCACCGTAGTAACGACATCCAGTTAAATCCGAGGGCCCGCAAAAAATACGCGAGCGACCTTCTTTAAGAGTCAACTTCTCTTCCACAATCATTCCCTTCCTCTCTTCCTCTCTCTCTCTCTCTCTCTCTCTCTCTCTCCCTTTCTTTTTTATCTTTTTCCATCCCTTGGTATCAAACTACATCGATGTAATAACCAGTCCCCAGATCGTTATGCAGTTCAGGGTAGGTGATAACTATAAAACGATTATTAATTATCTTCATCTACCTTCTGATCAAACCCCCTACCTCTCAAACATCATTCCACTCGTTCCTTTTTTTATATCGTCTTTCTTGAAAACACTTGCTGCATCAAACCTTCATGTACTTTCTAATGTTCATAATAAAAGTTTGGATTCATTAAATGAAATACAGAAGATGTGAAGGTACTCACTGATCATCATTGATACAAAAATGTGAACAAGACAATTGAACAACTGAACAAATGAACTTCTCACACACATTTTCTCTAAGTTTGGGTTTAGTTTGCAATTCAGAAGGTTCTGTGATTTCTGATCATCATTGATGAGACCTTCTCAATACAAAAATGTAAACAAGACAATTGAACTAACGAACAAACCCTACCCCTGCTGTGTTAATCACACACATTTTCTCTAAGTTTGGGTTTAGTTTTGAATTCATCAAGAAGTTTAGTGGATGAATCCAATCGAGAGATTCAAAACGACTCGACTTACTTCCATTTGGTCACCATTTCTCTTTTATACAGAAAGAGAGAGAGAGAAAGAGAGAAAAATACTTGATTTATATCCGTAAAAAAGAAGTTGAGTCGAAGTCCTCGGACTTTGGTTGTTGTTGCTTTCGCTCATTGCTCGCCACGAACGAGCGCGTCGCTGTACTCACTTTGAACAATGGAATTGCGTCGCAACGTCAATCTCCCTGTATCAATCACCTCACGAGCACCCGTGTGTGCTCTTTTATATCCCTACTAGCTGCTGCTGCTGCTGCTTCTGCTTCTGCTTCTGTTGCTGTTGTTACCTTCCTTTGACTCCCATTCCTTTTCGAGTCCTCTCTCTCTCTCTCTCTTTTTTCCTTTCCTTCTATCGACGTGCGTGTCTCGGAATAAAACGAAATTCAATCCGCAAGCTTTCTCTCTCACTCTCACTTAGACCACGTTTTCTGATACACACATATACATACATACAAACAAACAAACAAACAAACAAATCCTCCTTTCGTCACGAATATTTATCAATAAGAACGATGATGATAATAAACTGGCACGTGAATTAACTTGAGCTTAAGAACAAAAAAAGAAACGGAGAAGCTGTCTGTTGATCTACTTTCTTTCTAGTTTCTCATTTTTGTTGTTTTTTTTTTTTTTGGGTTGGAAAGCATAACGAAAAGCGACCGTACCGGTGCTCTTACCTGTCAGTCCAACACAGCGCATCCTCTCGGTACCTGCAAATCAAACAAAACAGTTCCGATAGTTAAATCCTCATTAACTTAATGATTAATTTGTAAATGTTATTAAAAATATGATTAACATTGTTTCAGATTATCCTCAACACTCTGGGACGACTCCCATTCTGCMGACTAGCGTACAAAAAAAAAGAAAGAAAGAAAACCCACTCCCCCTCCTAAAAGAAAACTAAGCCGTGAGGCTAAAACGCGTGTCGCAGCTTACAGGAAAAAGCTTTTATATGAAAGTTCAGCTATGAATAAGATCGCCGCAGTAAATCGTAGGCGAAGGTAATCTCGCGGTTGAGTGGTGCCCTTCTTCTCTCTCTTCCACCCCCTCCTCTTCCCCTTCACCATAATCAAGTCCCCCTTTTTATTCTTTTTTTACTTAGCTCACGAAACTACAATTCCCCAAAATCAAACTGGACGCAGATAAAAAATGAAAGATCACTAACAGCTAACCAGAACTCCTATCATTTAAAATTGAAAGATGAAAAGATGGATGAGATATAAAGCAAAAATAGAAATAGGGGGTTGTTCTAAACAAAAAGATGAATCAGAAGGTGTGAGTAGAAGGCGTTATTCTCAACAAGGAGAACTGTCAACGAGACATGATTTAAAGCCAAATATTACGACAAAGAGGACATTCCAGAACGGATCTCCCTTCTTCAACATCGGGTCCACCCCTCTCATCCCTTTCGAGTTCTCGAGTCTCGAACTCGTGGAGATATGTCGGGCAGACTTTATTACCAGAAGCCAACCCCTGGAACATTGATTTAATGCGGGAGTAATTGGGCGACCGGACGTCTCTATGACCGACGCAACCTTCTACCGTTAATGTCATTTAGCCCTTCCACGTAGTCTTCCTTAGTACTAACCACCATGCAAGTCTTCTGCCACCAACCCCACCTTAACGCACACCACCCAACAAACGAACGTGAGAAAGCCGAACGGTTGCTTTATTGCACCCTTTATTGCTTTTCCAGTTTTACCTTAGGTTAGGGATAGGGGTTGGGTGTTTCAGATGATCATTCTTTTTCTCTCTATGCGAATTATCGCGCTTATTAAACTCCAACATTCCATGAGAGTTATCGAATTTCTCTTTTTCTTCTTGTTCGTGAGTATTTTAAGAAAGAACGCGGAAGAAATGATCCACTTTCGAAGTTTTGGGTGTTGCCCTCTTGCGTGCAGTAAATTAGAGGCTTTAACGCGGGAGAATCAACAGAACGAATTTGCACCTAATACCTTCTCATTTTTCACCGAATACCGACCTAACAACACAGCACAGCTAACAACAAACACGATCGAAAATGAGAATATTTTTGGAAAGTGGGAAGTACGCTACTGCTGCTGGGCGTCATGTGCCTTTAAAGTCTTCATGGGGATGAGGATGGGAATAGGAATAAGAGGGATGGGGGTGTGTTGGGAGGACCACAAACGTGGCCTCTACAAGCAGTCATAATACGCGATCACCGAGGGCAACTTCAAATCCACACACATGGTGCGATCACGTTCTTCGACTCCGATCTTCCACACCCCTTTTCAACCCCCTCCCACATAACATCTCTCTCTCTCTCTCTTTCAATTCTCATCCATGATGCCGTGTAAACTTTAACTTTGGATACACCGGCTGCAGGAAATGTCTATCCCGTCTACGGACTGTTTCTCTCGATCAGAGGGGAAGTGTGGGGTAGGGTGTACCGGGGTGTAGGAGAAGAATGAGAAGGGTGGGGTTAGGTAACGTAATGACTAAGCGATGTGTCGGCATAACAAGTGCCGCTTACAGCCTCCCGTGAAAATGTTGAAACAACCACCACCCCTAGTAGTAGTGACTTATGTCCCTTTTACCACCCCCTCTTACTTATTTCCTTTCAATTCTTCTTTATTGAAATTCGCGAACTAACGGCAAGTTCTTGACGATGAAGGGGAGATATCGTTGAAATTGAAACGGTGATGCGACTATGAGAAAGTCATGCAAGAAGGAGAAACAGAAAGAAAAGAATTGAGAATGGAAAAAAGGTTTAGACCTTTCTCCAGGTCAGTGCACCCTTCTTCTTCTTCATCTTCTTCAGCTTTGGCCGTTTTGGTATAGGCAGCTATATGCAGTCACCTTTCATGCCGCACGATTCGATTCTCCCGCGTTCCAATGGAGACAGGGGAAAGAGATAGAGTAAGAAAGAAAAATAAAATGAGAGAAAGAGAAAGAGAAAGAGAGAGAGAGACATAGCTGGCGCATTATCACATACGTTAACTTTTTCTACCTCTATTGGCCCGGAGCGAGAGACCGAAAAACGACTGATTAATCGAACCAACACGGGGAACATTCTTGCCTCTGTGGTATAACACAAGGGGAACCAGTAGCACGTATAACAATCTCTCTCTCTCTCTCTCACTCTCTCTTTCTCGTTCTTTCTTGCTTTCTTTCAATGTTCCTTCGAACTGAGCAACACACCACACCCTGCTACCGCATTCGCGCGGATGTCGGGAGAAGAGACACGAGCCGAGTTGAGAAAAAGTCTCTGCCAATACCATCGGGCCTGGCTGGCCTGAGCGCGAGTTCCACCCGAGTTGGGTTCGACGAAAACCGGAATGCGTTTCTTAGCCCAACCACGGCCACGGAGATATGTTCTGAAGTTACAATTAACGCTGTACAATAGCTCGACGTGCCGTTCTGTGCGGGAGGAGGAGGAAGAGGAGGAGGAGAAGAAGGGTGGTACAGAATCAAAGGGTGTAAAAAAAGCTTCCACGAACGTTCGTTCTCTCGTTGATCCCTATTAGGGAACTATCGTTACTTCTTTTCCCCCTTCCTAACCTCCTTCCCCCACTTCAACCACTCCTTTTCTTCTTCCCCTCACCGTCAACAGGATAATCGTACCGACAAGGATCGAATGATCCTCTATTCGATTTTTCGGATCGATGCTTTCTCACTGAGATTTCAATGTTTTTCTTTTTTTTTTTTCTTCTTTTTTTACGTTTTGTAGATGAAAGAACAGGAAATTTTCGAATTCGTTTGAACGTCGTATGAAGAAAAGCAATCCGTGTCTCCATTAAGATTTAATTATATACGTGACGTAGGTGTTATTCGATTAACGTCACGCACATGACCTTTCGTTCTATCTCACTCTTTCTTTAAATCGTGAGATTCCTTCTCTCGTGGACTTAGTTGAATTCTTCCGTGTAACATACATACATCTACATTTATAACATAGGTTCATACATGAAACGGTTAGACGCGATTTACCATCTTTAATAACTTCCCTTGGATCCGTCCTAATTAACTTAATAACCATCCTCGGAGATTTCGTCGCGGTGAAGCTGACTCCAAGTCATTATTAAAACGTCTCAGCGTGTTTTGCAGATAAAAAGGACGATAGGTTGGTTGGTTGGTTGGTTGGTAGGTTGGTTGGTTGGTTGATTGGTTGATAGGTAACTACATACATACAATATCCCAAGAAAGATATAAACAAAAAGAACATTTAGAAAAGTTGTTGATAATCGAGTACACCTAACAAAGTTAACAAAAAACTAACCCCAATAAATTGGAAACTTCTTGAAACTGTAAACAGTGTCGTTATTTTATTCAAAGTTTTAGTTTACATATGAGAATAACTTGAAATCTTTGAAATAAAACTTTGAATTCACGCGTACAGTGTGTTATTGTTATTGTTGTTGTTGTTGTTGTTGTTGATGACGATAGTGGTGTTAGTATTTAAAGTTAATAGTAGTTGTAAGGAAAAACACGAGATTTCAATTAAAGAGACAAGCTTAGTAATGAGGCATCCTTCGATTTATTGGTTCGAGTAGGCCGGCGCCTAAATGTCTGCGTGCTACCTTATTCAGTTTCCACTGAGAAGAGAACTCCTTTTCTATCTCTGTCTTTCTCCCACCAAAGTAAAAGACGATGCAGAAAGAAAGCTGGGGACTCTTTAAGCAAAAGGGAAGGTGGGTGGGGGGAGCCCTACTGCTACTGAGAGACTGCTACTGCTACTACTGCTACTGCTACTTCTGTTTGTGTTGGTGCTGGGTGCCAGAAGGCAACTCTTGTCCTTCGTCCTGGCTAGCTGTCGTCGATCCCGTCGAGCACGCGCGTGTTAATATATGGATTCTCCTTGTGAACGCGCGTGTGCCTACTTCCCCCCTAACACCCCCTCTCTCTCTTACCATCCAACCATTTATTTCTTCTTACGATATGTGCACTCAACTTGGACTCTCTCTCATTTGCATCGTAGAATCCAAGTCCAACGTTTAACAGTCTCAACTCCTCCTCCTCCTCCTCCTCCTCCCTTTTGCTTACTTTTTTTTCCCAAACTTCGATCTTTATTATCCCTCCAATGGAAAACGAGACCTCCGATAACACTTTTCCCTCGCATCTTGTTCTTTTTCTTTTAATGGGGGAGGAGGAGGGGGAGGGAAACATTAGCACGCACCTAACTAAATTGCTGTTACAAAAATACATTCGTAAATCAATGAGTTTTTTTCTTGTTTTTTGTTTTGTTTTCAATCGAGTTTAATTACACGAGGGAGGGAAACATTCCGTGTGTCTATTTTCTCAATTTTAATCAAACACCGATATTCCCTCTTCTTCTTTATTTTATCCTCATCATTCACGGATATAAATATCGATGTGGAAAATTCCTTTTTTTTTCTTTTTTTTTCTTTTTTTTTTCGAAGACTACTAAAGATAAACCAAAAGAGAAAAGATAAAAAAAAAAAAAAAAAAGAAAATTCGACTACTCACACGCACTCGTTAAATTCATACACACATAGAGGATGATAACCTTCAGGCTACGAATATTTTGTTCGTATTATCTCGTTCTTTCTTTTCTTCCTTCGTCATTCCACCATGTATCGTATAATTTTTATCGAATCTTAAATACGATCTCGGAATACGTCGGAAATCATGGAAGAAGGCTTATCATTATTTCTTGCATGAAAAATGATCGGTTTTCTCGTTCACTTGCTCACTCACTCGATTAACGTTTTGGCAATCCATGAAGAAG